CAGAAGTAATTGAAAAATATGGCTGTGTTAACGTTTACACCACAAAATGTACTCTGAGTACGGACAAAGCTGTGCACATGGTAAAGTTTTAAGGCAGTTTATGTTTAAGAAAATTAAAAACAGGTCTGAATTTTGAGATTGTTTTTCTTAGCATGCAGAAAATGGTAAAATAAACAAACACCTGCAATTTAATAGAAAATAGTAAATGAACATTCAGCATGTTCAGTTAAACAAATTAAATAACATATTTATAAGAGTTAAATTACCTATATAGCTATTTATATAACAATTGGTTTCACAAGATATTTGACATTCCACACACATCAAAAATGTTTTTTTTACAAATAATATCCATTTACATTATAGACCATGAAAATATAGTTTTATACAAAACATGATAAAAGACAAGAAATATTACTTTTAAAAACAATTTTTTTACCATAAATATATGTAATCATTGCTTAATCGATACACACCGTGGTATTTAGAATAAACCAGTTCTGCATAACAAGTGCAACTTATTGTAGACTGTTTTAGATGTAGGACAAGCTTACAAAATTTTAAGTGAACATGTTCTATTATCATGATTATCATGATTATAAAAAAATATTTTCAAATGCAAATGGTGGTATTGTGGTAGCGTGTTCGCCGTGAGTGTTGGAGGTCGTGGGTTTGAACCCCAACCAGGTCAAACCAAAGACTTTAAAATTAGTATTTAATGCTTCTCCGCTTAACACACGGCATTAAGGAGTAAGGGCAAAGACTGGTCAGTTTGGAGTCAGAATAATGTGTCCGGGAAAGGTGACATGTCTTCCTGTGAACTGTTACCTTGTGAACTAGCACAGTAAAAATCTGGCTGAGCGTGTTGGTTTAGTACAAAGCAGGGTTAATATTCATAAAACATTAACATGTTCTCGTCCCGAATATACATATTAATTTGCCGCTGGACGTTAAGCCGCTATCCATCATCATAATCATCAAATGCCAAAATTTTAGAAGAATAGATAAAACTATCTTATCAAACATACATGTATCTAATTAACACTGTTAATCATTGTACTGTTTTGTCTTCCCTTTTTTTATATACCACACATTGATTTGTAGCTTGTTCACAAATATTTTTTCAGGTCTTTAGAAATGAACGATTTCTAGTTCTCTATTTGGTATAAACAAAAAAAAAAACTGGGTTGTTTCCCTTTGGAGACTATAAGAACTGTTTTCTTATAAACATATTCTTTGAGTTGCCATTTTTCACAATAATCACAAATTTGGTAAATCTTCACTACCCTCGGAAATCATCACAATGTGTTCAGCATATATATAATAACATAAATACATCTGTTGAGCATGGTGAGAAACTTCAAATTCTTCTTTTATTTACTACATTTTCCATCCTTTTTTTTAATTCATACAGTACTAGTATAACAAGACAATTCATTTGTAACATGCACTGAAATTAGCCTTCACTATGAGATTTTAATGTCTAGTATGATTAATTTTCATAATTTGTCTATAAGTGCAATGTAGTCGAGACAAATTCAAGAAAAGAAGAAAATATGACTTTTTTACTGATATAAGTAAACACAAATCTGAATGCCTAAGGATACAAAGTAATCTACCTCCAAGGAGATTTACCTGTACCAGTAAATAAAATACATGTGTATATGTATTACCCCTGACTGACTGACATGTTTTAAGTTCCTTACTTCATGTACCATGAATACATTTAAGGAATGATCAATTAAATCTTTAATAGTACTGAACAAATGCTAAAAGGTTCATCTTGCAGTTAAAATTTATTTGTCATTAATTCTTTGCAACAGCTTGTGCATTGATCATATTTTACATTCATCATGAAAATATATATTCTATATATACATTGACTGTCATTGAGGTCACCAACTGTTCAATACGCCCTTCACAATAAAGAGATTATTGATCATTGTTAATAAACAATTAAATTGTCAAATCTTTTTTATTTATTAACACAAGTAAATATTTTAAGTCTATATTTTTTTTTTATTACATAGAGACATATTTATATTATTCTTTGTAATTATTTACATGATTAATATCGGAACTCCTAACACAAAATCTGCCCTCAATTACACAGATTATCGAATATCAAGAAAACTGTCAAATCTTTATTGTTTCGTAAACACAAATAAAGGTTTTAAATCAACAAACAAATTATTCTATTGTTGTAAGGGGTCAGTCATGTGTCAGTAGGAGTTTTGCAGCTGAATTACATTTCGGTTAGTAATAAAAAATATTTTATGTACAGATTAATGCTTTTTATAAGTGATTTATTAGATTTGAAATAATTTTTAAGTTCTGAAATATTCTACTTGTGTAAGTGTGTCAGTTAAACAATAAATCATTACTTAGATAAAAATTTATTATATGGGTAAAAAAAGTAACAGACTTTTTGTTGACCTTTTAAAAAGGCAGAATCAGGAACTGTTGTTTTCTTTTTTTCATGATTTTTTTCCCTGAAATTTCAAAATGTTTTTATCCTATTCATCAGGTGTTGGACATGTGTATATATAAATGGGAAATTTAAAGTGTGTGCAACTCAAAAAAGGATTGCACGGAAAACTTTTGAACTATTTTTCAATTTATGAAATTCACTTATCGTTCTGATAGTTTTTATACGCCCGTTTACGGGATGTATTATGGTATACCGTTGTCTGTCCGGACATCCGTCCAGACATGAACTCAAAAACGCTTTAACCAATTTGCATGAAACTTTTGGTGAATTGTTTATATCTATTGATGCGAGCCCCCTTTTGTTTTTTAAAAATTTTAGATTTTATGTTTCCGAGTTTTGGGGTTTTATTCATTAAAAAAGGGGATTTTCCAGTTTTCAGACAACAACTCAAAAATGCTTTGAGCAGATTTCATGAAACTTTGGTGAATTGTTTATATCTACTGATGTGAGCTCCATTTCGTTTTTTTATAAATTTTAGATTTTGTGTTTCCGAGCTTTGGGGTTTTATTCATTAAAGAAAGGGGGATTTTCCAGTTTTTGGACAATACATTTTTTTTTGTAACTCGAAAATGCTTTGAGCAGTTTTTATGAAACTTTGGTGAATTGTTTATATCTATTGATGTGAGCTCCCTTTCGATTTTTATAAATTTTAGATTTTACTTTCCGAGTTTTGGGGTTTTATTCATTAAAAAAAGGGGGATTTTCCAGTTTTTGGACAATAACTCCAAAATGCTTTGAGCAGTTTTCATGTAACTTTGGTGAATTGTTTATATCTATTGACATGAGCTCCCTTTCGATTTTTCTAAATTTTACATTTTACATTTCCGAGTTATGGCCATGGGATTTTATTCATAAAAAGGGGTGATTTTCCAGTTTTCAGACAATATCCTTAAAGTGCTTTGAGCAGTTTTAATTAAACTTTGGTGAATGATTTATATCTATTAAGATAAGCTCCCTTTAGTTTTTTATAAATTTCTGATATGAAATTGAGAAGTTATTGAGCTTTATTCTTTGAAAACGTGACAGGCGTATCATGCCCTCATGGCACAGCTGTTTATTTCTTATAATGATGAATGTTCCAATGTACACATTTTCTTCATATAAAACACATCGGAGTCACAGAGACAAACAGCAACATTCTGATGACCATATTTTGACCTCTAGTGATCTTTTGGCTATTTTTGTCCTTGGGTTGCAGACTGTCTAACACAAAAATGGACATGAAGGGCCATGTCCTTACTGACATGTCAGTTTTCTAGATGTCTTTATTTGTACACTTTGTGTTTTATTAAAACCCAGATGAATTAAACCTGATGTCAAGTCCGTAAATATTATGTTTTTTTTTTCTTTTGGTCATGTTGTTGGGAAATGAATATTATAAACATGATAAGAATTAAAAGTTAATTTTCCTTATTTATCAATACGTAGAATTGTTACTCTGAATTAATTTCTTTTCGTGGGTACCAATTTTCACGGATGAAAGAAAATGTTTGTGGGTGATCTGATTTTATGAGGGTCTGGATGAGGAGTTCTTCAATTCTATATTCTTTAATTTGTTTAACCATTTTTCTCTAATTTTTTAATTTTTGTCCATATTTTCTCTATTCTCCATATTTAGGCACCTTGTTATTATCTAAATATAGTTATTCTTTATATATTTTGTCCTACCGGTATTTTTCTTAATTCTTCTTTACCCATTTTATCTGCAGTTTTAGCCCATTATTCTCAATTCTGTTTACCCCATCCTGACCCTCATACATTGAGAACTTCCATCAATTAAAAAATTTGTCCTTGAAAAATGACATTTCTTGCTCATTTGAACACACATCTTTTAAGGAGATGTGGGGAAAATTGTATACTTTTTTCCATGTACTCAGAAAACAACAAAAAGCTATAGTTACAGTTAGATTTTATTATGTTGTATTTATTTCTTATTAAACCAAAGATATTTATCTTATCACTGTTTGTCTGGATTATTTGATAATGGCATCTTGTTAATAATTCCATCATCTATCTTATAAGTACATATAATCAGGGGATTAGTAAAAATGTTTCAACATTTTTGTACATATTAGACGAATTATTTTTACAAATCAGTCAGTCCCACTTACATACATGTATTAGCAGCAGTGGTAAACAGATAGACAGAAAATTTATTGTAAGTTTCATTTCCAATTTTGAAAATTTTGTAAAAGTTTACAAGGCATCTACATGTATACTTAGAAGACAGTATGTTGTAAGTGAAAAGTTAAGATTTACAAAGTGATCGTAAATACCATTGAAAGTTTTAGCTCTATGGAATACATCCTATGCATTCTGCCTATTTGTCATGGAAAAAATAAGTCATTCAGTCATAACATGGGATTTTTCAATGATAATTTCAAACTCAGTGTAATTCAAACTCAGTGTAATCATGGTAAAAAGGTGACCAAAGATAGTTCTGAATATTATTTTAAAATACCGGTTTATCTTATTCATAACTTTAATAAATATTTGTTGTTCTTTTCAGGTAATGTCTAAGAAAGTTTTAATCACTGGAGCATCAGGATTATTAGGCCGAGCTGTTTACAAGGAATTTGTGAATGAAGGATCATGGGAAGTTTTGGGTTTGGCATTCAGTAGGTGTACAGGCAAGTTAAGGAAGTGTGACATTACAAAAGATGAGGAAGTAAAAACTGTGATGAAAGAGTTTAATGTAAGTGTGTATGTCCTGGAAATAATTATTATATATATTGCTTAAAAAGTTCTAATCATGCTAATTAGGGATATAATAGAAAAACAAAGGATATATATGGGGCACCATCCATGACATAAAATCAGTACATGCACAGCAAAAAAACACACAAAAAGCAAAGGAACAGCTCTTTCATTGCTGTTCTTCATCTCAAAGTCATAGTGAGGCCTTCAACAGGGAGCAAAAAAAAACCTCTCACATATCGGCAAGTATGAGACTGCCCCTAGCACTGGCCAGAGCGGAATTCTTAGCCCAAACAAATTTTGATAGACTTTATAATATATGTAACACCACCAAAACTGGCTTTGTCAAAAAGAACATACTGAAAAGAAGTACATATTTAAAAACAAAATAGTTCCTATGAACATAATGAATAGCTTTAAATTTTAATCTACGTAGAATAAATTTTGGTAATTTGAAATGAAAGGTGAAATGCATAGTAAACTTTTTGAAAATTTGTATTAAATATGAAGGGTCTGCATAGTTGAGTAATTAGAAATATTTAAATATGATTGATCATTCAGGTAAGTTGTAGTAAAACAAATATAATGTATTTGATGAATTTGTATATATAATGAAAATATTATAATACATGTGAGTACTTATAGATGGGTAGTCATTGTTTTTTTATGCGCCCGACGCAGCAGAATGAACATTCAGTGTTATCCTTGTGACTTGTCTGTTTGTACATCCGTTAGTGTTTAGCATAAATCAGGCTGTTTTTTTTTCTTTTGAATTTTTAATTCCCATTTTATAATGCCAGGGTCCTTATAACTTAAAATATATCCACATTATTTGTTCTATAGTGGATAGTTGTCTCATTGGCAATCATATCACATCTTCTTATTTTTGTACTAATGCTATAATGTAAATTCATATATTATTACAGCCATCAGTAGTTATACATTCTGCTGCTGAGAGGAAGCCAGATGATGTTGAACAGAAACCAGATGCAACTCAAAAACTGAATATATCAGCAACCAAAGTAGTCTGTCAGAATGCAGGTATTTTTTCTTGTTTGCATAAAGCTAACTATTCATACTTAGTCTAGAAGATAAGGATCTTTACCATGTTTGCTGTGGGTATTATCTAATCTACACCACATGTAAGAATACCACTGAAAGTTTGACCTATATGTAATTTTTGTTAGCATGGTCTAAAATATGTTTGCCACTCTTCATATAGACTTTCTGTCAGATATTGGTATTAGTTTTATCCGTGAGTGCCATTAAAGATTTTGCCCGCTAACCCTGTTTTTCTTTTTGTATTTTTCATTGCATATAGTTTAAGAAGCCATTTTTAAAAATCATATAAAGTTCTTGTTATTTTTTATAATTTTTGAATGAAAACAGATGCCAATGTTAAATGTATGAAAAATCTAGAGAGAATCATATTCCTACCAAATTTTCAATTGCTTATATCTCAAAACCAAGAACACCATCCATTAATTTTTTTCTGCTTTCTAAGTCCCATTATTTATATAACCATCAATTTATGACAGTCTTTTAAAAAGCTTGTTATTTTTAAACTGAGGAGCAAACATTCTTATATATATATAAGATAGAACATTTATCACTGGTGTTATTGGGGTAAAGATTGCATTCACACAATCATAAAAATTATGGTGAAGGCGTGTTATTTATCAATGTTAAAGACTTTATCAGTATTATCCATGAGTGTGGGTATTTTAGATACTTAGCTATAGTTTTTTGGGGGGGGGTAAAAATTGCAATGGAATCCATGAGGCTGGTTAGCTATATTTTTGCAATCTTTTTTTGTGTTTTCCTATATATGTCAATATAAATTAAGAAGATGTGGTATGATTTCCAATGAGATAATTATCCATCAAAAACCAAATGAAGTAGATATGAGCAACTATACTGAGGTCTCCTTACGGCCTTCAGTAATAAGCAAAACACAATAAATGTGAGACAATTTTAATGAGAAAACAAACGACCTGATATATATATATACATAAGAAAATAAATACAAATATGATATGCAGTACTAGTTACAATTGAAAACCACTGAATTACAGATTCCTTACTTGGGACAGGTACATACAGAATGTAAGCATTTTATTTATGATATATACTCAAATATAAATTAAAACAAATGATGTGTAAGTGTATTACCATACTTACATGTATCATGCTTTAAAATTAAGACAATAATTCTTAAAAACAATAACACAAGTTAAGTGTTCTGCCCAGATATTTCATTAAGCATCCTGGTAAACAGGTAAATTATAAATACCATCTTGTTTCTAAAATAATAGCATCTCATCCATAACATAATCTATAAGAAAACCAATTCAGATTGCATTACATTCAAGAAGTATAAGCATCACATTACCATGATGCTATACAGGTCTGGGGAGAACACTGAAGTTGTAGATACATTACAGACCAAGGGAGATAACTCAATTACTTCTTATTATGTTTCTTTATTAATTACTATAGATTCTTTTGTTTTCATTGTTACCAATTTTAGTGGCTTGAGGAAAACATAAGTTTTTGTTGATATATTATTTTGTGGTTTTGCCAAAGTCTGCTTACAAGTCTATAGAAATTTTATAATTCAGTGAACACTTCAATTCCTTGCATGTTCACCTGTACAAATGAAATCCACGGAAAAAAATGAATCCACAGTAATTCAATTAAATATCTTGACAAAACTTCAAATAAATTTTGTAAGATTAACACTTGTTAACTATAAAAGGTAGGAAGATTTTCACTTCAAAGAAGTTTTCTAGCTGATTTATTCAGATATTTATTGATAAAACATTCATATATTTTTTTTAAGCTGCTGTTGGTGCTTGGGTATTATATATCAGTACAGATTACGTGTTTGAAGGGTCATCCCCTCCATATAAGGAGGATGCTACACCTAATCCACTTAACAAATATGGACAAAGTAAATATGAAGGTGAAAAGGTCACAATGGAGGTTAGTCAAGGTAGACATTTTACTTTTATGTTAATATCTTATTTGATGCTGTCATAAAATTGTGAAAGATAGCTGTTATATGGAATTGGGTTTCATCTTAATTTTAGTAGCCCTGAATAGGATTTTTTTAATAAGGAGATAGTATCCAAACAAATTGGTATTGATTGATATTTGCTAAAAAAGCTTAGTTAAAAAATATTGTCAATTCATATGTTTAAAATTTGGTTAAACTGAAAAAATTTACAGAACCACATGTTTAAAATTGGTTCGATAGTAAAAAAAAGAAAATCTACCAGTTGGCCATCAAAGATGGCAGCCAAGGATAATAAATCCAACTAATATTTCATCATTGAAAACTATCTATAGGATTATTGTAGTAATGAATATAAAATATTATTCTACCATATATATGTTCGTGCTAAAATCCTTTTGAAGTTTTTCATTTATGTAATACAAGATGGAGTTATTTCCCTTGGATCAATCTTGCAGTGCCAACTGGTTGATTATCGTATTTGACTAACCATTTTGATAAATGTGGTACAGCCAAGTTGAATCAATAGAAGATCCGAAATTGATATAAGTGTTCAAAAAACAAACAAGGCTTAAACAAATAAAAATCATTCAGGAAATTTCTAAAATATGGATGTCAGAAAAGCAAGTTGAATTTAGTTGATTTATCAAAGGATGGGCAAAGGGGAGTAACTCTGATTCAAATTGCATGACAATAGGAAACCATTTTTATCATTGTGTTTTGTTTGTAGACAATTCAATATTAAGAGTGCCAATTCTGTATGGAGACATTGAGTACTTGGACGAGAGTGCAGTGACTACACTATTTCAGAAGGTCACAAATTCATCTAAACCGTGTCCTATGTCAGATTATGAAAGACGTTTTCCAACTCATTGTGATGACATAGCATATGTGATAAGACAGTTAGCAGAGAAAAGGATCGTGAAAATTTACAATGTGTTTAAAAATGCCATTGAATGTTTCTTTATGTTATCATGGTTATAATACATCTGCAAAAAAATGTTTTAATTAAAATTAACTAAGTTGTCCTGAAAAGTTTATGATGGAAGAGTATTTTATTTGTAAGATAGGCTAAAGATACCAAAGGGACATTCAAACTCATAAGTAGAAAAACAAACTAAGGCTGTTAGTTTTCTCGTTTGAATTGTTTTACATTGTCATTTCGGGGCCTTTTATAGCTGACTGTGCGGTATGGGCTTTGCTCATTGTTGAAGGCCGTACGGTGACCTATAGTTGTTAATTTCTGTGTCATTTGGTCTCTTGTGGAGAGTTGTCTCATTGGCAATCATACCACATCTTCTTTTTAATATTGACAATGCCATAACCAAAAAATAGGAACTTCGAAAAGACAAAAGAAAGTACACAAAACATAACATAGAAAACTAAGCAACACCACCCATATTGACAAACAGGGGGTGATCTAAAGTGCTATGGAAAGTTAAGCAGATCCTACACCACCTGTGGCACATGTCGTGTGGCTCATGTAAGTACAAACCCTGTGGTTGTAAGATTCTTCATGAAAACAGTTCCTGAAATAGTTTTTCAAATACGTACAAAAGCAAGTCTTTCCATTTTACTTTTAAATTAAATTTGCAATGTTAATTATCATGATTATACATGCAGTGTATCTGGATATTTGATAGATGCAAACATATTTAATTTATTGACACCTCTGATATTTTATAAATTCTAAGTATTTTAATAAATAAATAAAAAGGATTAATTATTTACATCATCAGAAAAAATATGTTTGTATATTTATTCATATAATTTGCATATCTACAAATACTTGAATGCGATTGCTTGGTTAGAATTTGTTCCTTGGTTTACACTTTAATAGACCATGTTGCCTAATCTACTTTTATTACCTATTTCAACACTCTGTTAATAGATATATATGCTAATAAATTGACAGAAAAAATATAAAACATGATATGACAAATGTTTAGTTGAAAATTATAGGGATAAAACACATTTTGTGTAGAGGTTTATACAGTTTGCAAAATAATTTGGGTCATGGTAACACATCATCAGCCTTAAGGATGTTTGCTCCTCTTGATTATGAATTATTGTCAGATATTCGGAATCCTTTGGTTTTATCCATTTAGTGACATAAAGAATTTTGCCCGCTAACCATTACTTTTCTTATCATAATTTAGAAAATCTTATCATAGAAAAATGATGTCAATGTTAAATGTATTAAAATTCTAGAGAGAATAATGTCCCTCCATATTTTCAATACCGGTAGCTTATATCTTGAAAACAAGCATAGTGACATAGACACTTTGGTAAGCTGCACCTTTTCAAAGTGTCTATGTCACTATCACAGTTGGAGGTGGCAAGCTGCAGCTTTTCAAAGTGTCTATGTCACTATCACAGCTGGAGATGGCAAGCTGCAGCTTTTCAAAGTGTCTATGTCACTATCACAGCGGGAGGTGGGTGAGCTGCAGCTTTTTAAAGTGTCTATGTCACTATCACAGCTGGCAGTGGCAAGCTGCACCTTTTCAAAGTGACAGCATCACTAGCACAATTGTGGTGTCTGAGGTGGCAAGCTGTAGCTTTTCAAAATGTCAGTGTCACTATCACAGCTGGAGATACCAAGTTGCAGCATTTCAAAGTATCAGAGCCACTATCACAGCTAGAGGTGACAATTTTCAGCTTTTTAGCTCACCTGGCCCCAAGGGCCAAGTGAGCTTTTCTCATCACTTGGCGTCTGTCATCTTTCGTCATCGTTGTTAACTTTTACAAAAATCTTCTCCTCTGAAACTACTGAGCCAAATTTAACCAAACTTGGCCACGATCGTCATTAGGGTATCTAGTATAAAAAATGTGTCTGATGACCTTGCGTGCCAACCAACATGGCCAGCATGGCTAAAAATAGAACATAGGGGTAAAATGCAGTTTTTGGCTTATATCTCTGAAACTAAAGCATTTAGAGCAAATCTGACATGGAGTAAAAAAGTAACCTGATATATCTTCCCTGAAATTTGTAGATGAATCAGATAACCCGTTGTTGGGTTGCTGCCCCTGAATTGGTAATTTTAAGGAAATTTGCAGTTTTTGGTTATTATCTTGAATATTATTATAGGTAGAGATAAACTGTAAACAGCAATAATGTTCAGCAAAGTAAGATCTAGAAATAAGTCAACATTACCAAAATTGTCAATTGACCCCTTACGGAGTTATTGCCCTTTATAGTCAATTTTTAACAATTTTTTTCGTAAATTTTTGCAATCTTTTACAAAATCTTCTCCACTTAATCTACTGGGCCAAATAGAATTAAACCTAGCCACAATTTTCAATAGGGTATCATAAATGAAAAAATTATCCGATGACCCTGCCATCCAACCAACATGGCCACAATGGCTAAAAATAGAACATAAGGATTTACTATAGAAGTCTAAGGGAAAATTGTGAAAAAACCAATTTCAAATTGTCACAACTTGAAAACTAATTTAAATAATGATAAGGGGTCTTCAGTACCTATTGTAGGTCTAGTTACTAGTGGGATGACCTGCTTTTAATTTAACTACTGGGCCAAATTAAACCAATCTTGGCCTCAATCATTATTAGGGTATCTAATACTAGTACTATTTATTATGATTTAAACCTTATTTTACATGATTTCATAAAACCACAGTAGATACAGGTGAGCGACACAGGCTCTTGAGAGCCTCTAGTTAAAGTGTCAGTATCACTATAATTACAGTTTGAGGTGGAAGGATGTACACCATGAAAATTTTAATGTAACAATCAAAAATAGAGGTTGAAGGTAATACCTTATCAAACTATTTCTCCAGATTCACAGTTGGAGGTGGAGGCTGCTCTTTAAGAACTGGGGATTGAAATATATTAAAATATTACTATTAGTTAAATACCAGCATCACAAATGTACTACTATGACAGTTGGAGGTGAGAAGCTGTACACTTTCTATCAGTGCCACAATCAAAGATTGATGCTGAGGTCTGCACTATTTATTAAAACCAGAGATGGAGGTAGAGGGCTGTACTTTTAGTGCCACAATCATACATTTGGATTGAGGGCCATTTTTGCCATATCAAACTATTAGTACAAGTATCACATTGAAGGTGGAGGGCTGTATTATTTTTAGTTGTTAGTCCTCCAATAACAATTTAAGATTGAGGGCTGTACAGCCTATCAAAATCTAAGTACCTTTATGACATGAAGATTGGACACTACTCTGTCATGCTACAGTGCACAAATCACAGTTGGAGGTGTAGACCTCATGCTACAGTGCACAAATTACAGTTGGAGGTGGAGACGTCATGCTACAGTGCACAAATTACAGTTGGAGGTGGAGACGTCATGCTACAGTGCACAAATTACATTTGGAAGTCGAGACATCATGCTACAGTGCACAAATCACAGGAGGAGTTGGAGACGTCATGCTACAGTGCACAAATCACAGTTGGAGGTAGAGACGTCATGCTACAGTGCACAAATCACAGGAGGAGTTGGAGACGTCATGCTACAGTGCACAATTCACAGTTGAAGGTGGAGACGTCATGCTACAGTGCACAAATCACAATTGAAGGTGGAGAGGTCATGCTACAGTGCACAAATCACAGTTGAAGGTAGAGACGTCATGCTACAGTGCACAAATCACAGTTGAAGGTGGAGAGGTCATGCTACAGTGCACAAATCACAGTTTAAGGTGGAGAGTGATATCAAAGTTGGAGATTCAGGACTAAACTCTATTCAAGTTTCTTTCTATCTGTTAAGATACAGTCAGGATCTGTGATATTTCAATACACTAAAGAGCAAACTGGAAAAGGGAGCACTTTCTCAGGAGGAGGAATTGAGAGGACTTTAAAAACAAAAAAAAAACGTTTATTTTAGAATCAGAAGTGTGAACTCAAAATACAAAATGAAGACTTGGAAAAGTGTATGAAGTTAGTGGATGACTTGTTGAGTGAAAAACATCAGGTAATAATTTAATTTTAAATTAATTTAAATACATTGTTCTTGTACAGAATGTTTTAATTTTACATATTAAATTAGTTAATTTAAAAAAGAGCTGATACTTTATTGTTAAATGTTGAAAACAAATATGAAATATATAAAAAATGATGTATATTATAATTATATATGCATCATATGATCTTTTTTTTTGATAAAAAACTGTAAACTTATGCAATTCAAGACACAGTTATTTTTTTTACAATGTTTACACTGAACAATGTTTTAGCAGAAAAAGGGAACATATTTTATTTTTTTCATTTTTATTTTGTTTAATCAGTATATTGTTTTGTTATCATTGCGCACATGGTTAGTTACACATTTTCTTGTATATTTTAGAGTTTTATGTGGCCATTCTACCAACCAGTGGACCCTATAGCCTTAGGCCTCTATGATTACTTTGAGATAGTCAAGAAACCAATGGATATCAGTACAATTAAGGTGAGAGTTATAAACAGAAGTAAGTGCTTTAATATGAACAGAGGTTCAATATACCATGACAGGGGGGTCAAAATACCATGCCTAAATACAATTTTCAAAACATCTTTTGCAGCATGTTAAATACATACAAACTACTTATTGGAGTAGTATTACTATGTAAAAGAGTAAGAATAGATAGAATGTTTTAAATTAGAGGTGTATAGTAGGGGGTTCAATATACAATGGCAGGGGGTCAAAATACCATGGCTTAGTAAAATTTTCAGCATTTTAAATACATACCAACTACTTACTGGAGTATTATTACTTTGTAAAGGAATCAGAATATCTAGAATTTTTGAAATTGGAGGTCTATAGCTATTCTTCCTCCTTTAAATAGTAATAATACTGCAACACATGGTTAGTATGTATTTAGCATGCTGGAAAAGATATTTGGAAAACTTTACCTAGCCATGGTATATTGACCCCCTATACACCTCAAATTAAAAAAAAGTTCTAGCTATGCTAATTCCTTTGCATAGTAATTCTACTCAGATAAGTAGTTGATATGTATCAAACATGCTGAAAAAGATATTTAGAACATTTTATTTAGCCATGGTATTATATATTACATTAACATGATTTGATTCTGAATAAGTATTTAACTTAATTTGTCACTGGAAGTTAAATAGCCATCCTTTTTTACCACTAATTCTTTGAGCATGTTTTTTTTAGAATAATTTGGAATGTTGTTTATACAAATCAGTAGATGAATTTAGTGGTGACATGCGACTTCTATACCAGAACTGCTATCTATACAGCGAACCAGATACTGAGATTTATAAAATGGCGAAACAGTTACAAGAATACTTTGAAAAGACAATGAAAACAACCATTAGTGATAAACCAGTTGGAATCAAGTCACATACTGAAAATTCTTCTCCAGGAAAGGAAATGGCTATAGCAATGGAAAATTTACAACTGGAGGTGAATTACAATTCACAGTGGTGTTTTTTCTTGCACAGTTTTAATAAAGTGTTTTAGATATTTAAATAAACTATTGCACTGATTTTGTTCTTGGTGTTTTGACTGGTTCACAAAATAATAAACACTACAGCTGAGAAGGATTTTTGCTTTTTAATTCTGTACACAGGGGAACTGGTGGCATAAACTGGTTGTCAAAACTGCCAACTTCTGCATACTTTGGAGTAGACAATTTTGATACAAGCTTTTGTATTAAGATTTCTATCCATTTTGATAAAAGGAAACATTTGAGTGGACATTGACTGTCTGTCCATTATAGACAGGAGGAATAGGCAGAATTATTGTTAGCTGTATTGGGCAACATTTTTTTTAGCAAGACATAACATTGCATCACTTATGAGCATTTTTCTAAATGAAAGATGATACTTACACTGTACTTGGAATTATGGTACTTTCCTTGTAATATTATTTTCCTTAATTAATGTTAATTTTGTATTTGTTTCATTAAATTTCCCAAGAGTGAGTGATAAAAGTTTATTCAATTTAAAATTTGCAATTTTCTTAGCATTTCTATTCAGGTTCTTTATGTTTTGTTTTTTTATAGACATTCTGAACATTGTCAGTAGCATATCACTAATAAAGGTTATTCCAGACACATATGATGTCATGTTAGGGCCTCTTATATATACAAATGACTATATTGTATGGTTACACACATTTTTGAGGGCAATACAATGACTTTTAGTACATAAGTATACTTTATTTGGAATCTGGTTGAAAGTTGTCTCGTAGGCAATGAAACCACATCTCCTTATATTCATATCAGTAATAACTTTTACCATGTTTACACTTGAAACATTCTTGTTTACTTCTACATATCGTAATCAAAATACCTTATAAACAAATTCAAAATGGAACTGTAATTAAAATAGTATCTGATTCTTTTAATTTGTTTTAATATTTGTTTTTTTCTTCTTCACAGGATAAAAGTATTAAAGGGGTATACCATTGGAGTGGTGATGAAAATATGACTAAATATGACATGGCTTTAGTAATGGCAGAGGTGTTCAGTCTTCCTTCAAATCATATTCAACCAGACAAAAAGCCTTCACCTGGAGCCTCTAGACCATTCAATTCTCAGCTTAGTTGTCAGAGACTGAAAGACCTAGGAATAGCAAAAAATAACCAGTTTAAAAGCAAGATTCTTGATGTGTTGAAGCCATATTACAAGACATGATTTACTTTCATTTTGATACTGTAAGTTTAGAAACTATTGCAAGGTTTTTATTAATGCGAATAATGCCACTGGGTGAGTATCCCAAAAATAAGGACTCACATTATGATATATGACGAATTTATATGTATGCAGATTTTTTTGAAATGGCAATAATTAATAATCTTGCATTAGTGTTAAAATCGCAATAATAAATGCACGCAATAATCTCTGAATTTTCAGTTTGTCAAATCTAAGTACGGACTTCATCACTATTACCTTGAACTTAAAGGACAATTAGTTTAAACATTTTATTTGCTGAATTAAAGCAAAATGGATTAGACACAAGTAAATCATACTTATATGAAGTCTTCTCCATAATACAATATAAAATTACAATAATAGTATAATATAATGGACATGCATTTAAAGCAAACAGTTTATAGAATATAATACAAGCTTTAATAGTTAAAAAAGTAGAGAGAGAGAGAGAGAAAAAAAAAGTCTATTAATTCTGTGATGATGATGTGAGTGTTGATGATGATGATGTTCCATGTCAGTATCAATAACGCTTTATGAAGGGACAAGAAATCTGTTTGACCTTTTGATGAAGTTTTGAACATGTTTGAAAATTTGAATATTTTGTTCGTTTGAAAGTTCCAAGTGTCCGCAAATTAATAATTTTGTATCTAAAACAAAGTTTTCGGAAAGGACAATTAACACATATTAGATAATAATTTCAAAAATTACAATTGGTGAAATATAAGTAGGCTATTCACTGTAGATTGGTGATTTATACAAGATTCATTACAGTCTTAGACTAAGATATTGAATAATATTAATAGATTTTTAAACATCTGAGGTGTCAATATAAACCCGCTTAATTTTTCAAATACTTTTCTATTTTTTTGCCCTTTATAATTGACTTCACAACAACTTATGTTAATACAGAAAATGTTTACTTTGATGAAAGACATATATGTTACTATTTTTCTACTCTGTGGAAGTCTGAAAAACAAATTGTTGAAGTCTGAAAAACAAATCCTGTTGAAAAAAGAGTTATAGAAATGCTGGAAGGAATGAGGAAGTTTTTGAAGATTGCAAAAGTCAAAAGGAATAATAAATAATTTGATTTTAATTTAACTTTTTAATTTGACTTGATCAAGGAATATTTGCTTTTTTATATCATTCTTTTGCCCTTTTTGCAATTTTATTATTAATACAAAGTTATTTTATTGGTAATTTATGGTACAGTATGTTTGTTGTTTTATTGTTTGTTAGCATTTTTCTATTTTGATTTAAGTAGAAATAAAAATGGTCATGATGGTATTGACCAGTTTTTAAACTGGAGTAAAATTCTGTTATATATATTACTTTTAGTATGCTGATTTTCTTTTATTTATATGTTTAATTAAAATAAATTCCAATGTGTCATTTTTGTTTTTGTGTGTTCATGTTTATGCTTTTTTCGCTCCTTGTCGTGTTAAAGTGATCAATTTGGTGCATAATTTATTTTGTATTTCCAGAGGTTTGTGTCAAAACAGATTGTTTTTTTTTTTTTTTCTTAGTTTATAAACGTATGTTATAGTATGTTCATGATGGTGATTATGAAGCTGTCACGTTTATAGATTGTAAAGAAGAATATTGACAAAATTATGTAAGTAAAGTAAAATTATAATAATGTCTGATCAAATGAATGTGATCATAAGTATGATTAGAATCATAAATAAAACAACTGCAAAAACTTAATCTTTGAAATGGATTGGCCCTTTAATAAAGAAATAAATCTCCACTTTTAAAAAAAAAATTAAATTTTAATATGGCTGAAGTCATCTTAAGCGTTTTTGCATAGAGAATAGAGAAGAGATTTGCCATGAGCATGCAGGAATTGGTGACTTTAAAAAATTATATACAAGTACAGAGAAATATGAGTTAACACTTTAAAGGGAAATGTTTTAAATGATGTGGATATTTATAGGTTAGTAGAGAATTATTTCATTATATGGAGGATGATTTCAGGAAAAATAATAGAGAATTTATAAGTTATCTTTGTTTTCAAAATTATAAATGCCTTTTTCGCTCACCTTGCCCAAAGGAATTTTCTGATAACCTGCAGTCTGTCATCAAAGTTATCCTTTGGTCATCAATCATCCATTAATTTCACAAAATTCTTCACCTGTGAAATAACTCAGCCAATTGGGACCAATCCATCATAATCATCCTTATTTTGATACCTTATAAACAAATGTGCTGGATAATCCTGTCTGCCAATCAACATGGCCGCCAAGGCTAAGCATAGACCTTATCGGTAAATACAAGGTGTGTCTAATATTTTGAAAAATGTTTTAGATAAAGAAAAACCCGAAAGCGCATAACTTGCAGAATAAAATAAAAGATCTACCAACTGTTCATTAGGACAGACATTTTCAAACGTCTTCTTATACATGCTATAGGAGTGCTTGCCTTTTAATAACAAACTGTTTCTAATTTTGTCATTTTTCTTATTTTGGAAACATAAATAGACGTTAATGGGTAATGTTTTCTTTTCTGTAGACACACTGTTGAAATTTTAATTAAGAAGATATCTTCTACTTTGAAATTTGTTTCATGCTAGTATGAATACTAACATTACCAACGCTTTTCGTTATCAAAAACCTTACATTTGTTTTTGAGTGTTTCTTCACGCAGAATGATACAGTTTTTTTTTTCCTTATTCAGAAACTTTTCTCTTATTCTATTCAGCCATGCGTCTGTAAGATTTTAAGTCAGAGGTAGAAAGGTATGGATTTATGGATGATCCTAAGGTCTATGTTTAAATGAAGTTGAAGTTTCTTAATGTTGAACATGTTGAAGTTTGAAAAAGTTTGAAAATGAAATATTTCATTTAAATGTGAAACATACATATCATGCATACATATGCTTCGTCTGGGTTTAGATAGTTGTATTGCGACCTAGTATACATATATTTTATAGTAAGACATTGTTCAAATAAAAAAAAATGTTTTTTATCTATTATTATTAATAGTCACATAGAACCCAAAAGCAAATTCAACTGACTGCCATTTTAATCTTAATAATATCTGGAAAGGCCGTACTGGAAAAGGTCATGTTATAGAGTTCAAACTAGTTTTCATATTTGCTCTTGTTGAAATTGCTGTACTGTTTAATTCAAATGCATTGCACTCATTTGAATACTGTCCCTTAGCTTTGTAAACAAACCACCATGTAGATTTTTTATATTGGTAAACAACAACTATAGTATTGTCCTAACATAGACATTGTTAAATTAAACATATCTCTGTTGCCAATTGTCCGAACAGTACTGGATTTACAACAAGAACTTATATAGAAAATAAAGAAAACTCGAAAAATACTCTTTGTGTTTTTAAATTCAGATTTTTCAGAAGCTGAATTTACCCTTTTGATTAACTTTTAGAATTGACTGAAAGACGGAGCAAGCATATAATTCATTGCTAAGCCTTGAAAGAGCGATTTAGGTCAATATTGCCGTTTCATCTCACAATTCGTTTACTTGTGATCTTACTGTATATCTCTTACAATCAAATAATTACCAGATGGATGGGATAGGGATATGTGTCTCCAACTTGATCTGTGTATATTATGGACCTTGTCATTATTATGATAGAGTTGAAGACAACAAGAAATTGACAATTTTATTAGATTTTAACGGGGATGTTAACACAAATAAGAACACCATTATATTACTTTATTAAGTTTCGTTAGTAAAAAATTATCCTTCATTTTATCATAAACCATTTCATTATAAAACGGTTCATTTAACGTACAATAAGATTTCAAGATTTCATATGTAATCAGAAAAGGCAATCATCTATAAATTCTCAGCAGTAGCTGGATTCAATAGGAAAAGCAGATATGGTACACCAAAAACATATATCGGAGGCGATACTTTTTTGTATAAAAGAAGGGCAAAATATACCAGAGGGACATTCAAACTCATAGATCGAAAATAAACTGACAACGCCATGGCTAAAATAAAAAAAGGACAAACAGACATATACAGCTTCATAATTCAGAAGGTAAAATACCTTATCTCTATGTTTTGTGCATATTTCTTTCTCAATGTTCAAACATTGTTTCTCAGATGCTATAAGCAGCATGCAAATAATATTTGTTGTGTGAAAGTGTTCGATATATATATGCATATCTGGCAAGTTTAATCTGTCATTAGACATATTTCTGTTTTTGGTGTATGCCTTATTTCTTATAGGATGCACTTTGTAAATAAAGCTGTTTCATAAACAACGCCTCTTTTGGGGAGATACATAAAATTCATAAATGTTTTGTTTTGTTTACGTACTGGTTCCCAGATATGATCTCCATGTCTCATCTCATAGAGATATAACTTGGGAATGTTACCAGTATAAATGCACATGGAAGGCGGTGGAATTGAATTCTGAGTAAGACATAAAGTGAAGGGAGTGGTAGTGCAGAATTTTAATATAAGTTTAAACTTATAAGAAGTTCGGGCCATATAAACGTTGAAAATATGCCGCACAGCCCTCTATTTTGACCTTTGAATAAAAAAGTAGTGCACATTAACTTTCCATTCTGGGATATCATTGTTTACGAAACTTCACAGTAAAAGTGACCAAGTTTAAGCGGTAAACGGAGTTCCTATGGGAAATTGCATTGTCTATATTTACAGAAATGTAACCTTAATACAATAGTCAATAGGTTCACTACATTTTGTATATGATATTATCGTAAAGTGTACATGTCTGCCTGACAGGTTCCATCTGATCTTGACCTTGTTTATTGGTCAATGTAAAGTGTTTGTTGTCTAATGTGCTTTTCTGATACTGTGGATTCATTTTTTATTCATGGATACCAATTTTCTTGGTTTGAGGAAAACTTATATTTTCTCAAATATTTGATTTTGTTGATTTGACAAAGTCTGTTTACAAGCCCTTGAAAGTATGTTCGTCGGTGGACATTTAAATAAGAAGTTTTACTATGTCAACGAAATCCACGAAAAATGATATACTACAGTACTGTATTTTGATAATATACATGATAAATTCTGTATTGAAACAACTTTATTTGGTGTATGGATAGTTGCAAAATACACATATCTGTCTTTTTGGCTTTTTCTGACATTGACCCCATTTTTAATGTTCTTTGATCAAAGAAAAGTTTCTCGAGTTTATGTCTGTTACTCACATACCTTGTGCAATATGTCAACAATATAAAGTATATGAAAGAATGGTCTCATTATTGGGTAATAGAATGAATTGAATGTTTGTTGATAATAATAACTATATGTTTTAGTGAAAAAAATGGACAACTATGTGTTATACATGTTATATATAAAACAGGAAAGACCTACAGTACGGAAGTAGTTCAGTTCAACGTAGATTTTTCGTGTCCCTTTTTTGATACATCCGTAAATATATGGTACAGATACAGTTATACTTAATTTAATTTATGCCTAGGGTTGGTTTCAATTATTAATTTGAGTGATAAACCATTTCTACAAAGAATTAACCATCAGTATAAGAAATTAAAAAAAAACAATTTCATGACGTAGGACCTTAATATTTCTTGGTGTTTTATTTGAGAATCTGTAAAATATATCAACCACACACATGGTTTCTGTTTTAGAACTGTAATGGTTTTTATGATACCTTTCTGAAACAGTTCTAGAAAGGCGTCAATAGAGAAACAGCAAAATCTGTCTCAATTGAAACTCTTGGGGACTCCAGATTGTGCTTTGTTATGGCAAATATTCTGTTTCACAAGGTTCACAACATATACAATTGGATATTCCTGGGCTTAAGATCATGAATGGTTTAGACAGGTTTCCGGATTATGCAAGATTCGGTTTACATAGGTTTAACTTTTTGTTTTCGTATGAAGTAAAACGTGTGCATTTAAATTGGCAAAGAGAAAAGAGAAGAGAAATTAAATAAATGTTTTTGTGTGAAAATTGCCGAAATATTGTAATATACTTTTTTTAAGAACCTTAGTTATACATGTTATATGTAGGAGATAATTGGTCTATTAACGAAAAAAGAAAATATAAGCGCCCAATTACATGTACTACAAAAAAAAAAAACATTTACGGTATAACCAAACAGGAAGTGATTTCAGATAAAAAAATATGAAATACATTACAACTTATCATATACAAGTTTCAGATCAATTATCACATCATACTGTAACACAAAAGTAAAATGGAACGAATAATGTTCATGCTCAGTCAGTAAAATAAACATTCAAAGTGCCGTCAAGCAGAAAGAGGATTGGAAAAAAGCTAATCCTGTACCACTACGGCGTATCAGTCCAAGTATTAACTCTTTTCTACACAAAAAAAAAACCAAAGTCATGAGCGGGCAAGGTGATAGCAGTATAGCACTCGCTCAGTGAATGTGGTCGGGGTTGGCTTTTCAGACCAAGAACGACCGCAAAGAACATTTCTAAAAAGTATCACGTTCATTGCAACTGAAATGTGTAAATCAAAATTGGTTATATTGAATATAAATTGACAAAGAAAACACGTGTATAATTTAATATATCAAGTAACGTTTTATATATGTTCTACGTATCATTAACGCTGTTGATTTTAACGAATAGCTGTATCCTCTCCAACAAGGCAAAACCATTCCTTTAGATTTGCTCCGTTTAGATTTGATTGATAACACTTGTTATACCAGTATCCTCCATTGTAAGAATTCGCACAGTTGATATGATGGTTATCATTGTCCTGGTCGGTAGTCGAGAAAAGAATGCCATTATGACCAGATAAGAATTCTCCTATAACAGACGAATTTCAAACTGTAAGACTGCATTCAAATCTTATTGCATGTTCATTTTACCTTTGCTATTTGCCCGTTTAATTAAAAAAAAAGTGGTCATAGTTTCCACTGCAGAAGTTGTTTTCCAGTTTTAAGGTTGATGGCAAAAGGGAATAATTACTGTGTAGAATAAACTCAAGCAAGTTGAACAATCATTGTGTTTTGTTCGGAGTCTGACTATAATATTTACCGCGTGCATACATGTACATGGATTTATAGAACAAGGCATTATGTTGTGATGGTACTCTTCATGTGCAGGGTACCTTAAATGCATTTTCAGCACGATCATATGTTTATGCAATATGTTTGTGTAATATGAATATTAGAGCAATACGCTGAGCCAGATTTTTAATCTGTCAGTGTACAAGATAAAACTCCACAGGAAGACACTTATTTTATTGATTTTGTATTTATATTGTGTCATAGATCAAATGTATTCGTTCAGTGTATGTTCACTTGTGTCAATGTGTCTTTTGATTGCGTTTAGCCATTTCAATTGATATTTTAAAGTGTCTTTTGTATGTTGTATTGTTAAACTATTGTTTCAGATAAGGGCGAAGGTTGGTACCTATTAAAACGTTTAAACACGCTGCAATTGTTTGTACATGTCAATT